CATTGGAATGGGCTGCCCAGGGAGGTGGTGGATGTGCCACCTTAAAAACCTCCAGGGATGGTGAATCCACCACCTCCCTGGGCAGCCCATTCCAATGCCTGACAACTCTCACCACAAAAAATTTCTTCCTAATATCTAACCTAGAACTAACAATATTTGTAACTTAATCCAGGATTTAAATGAACCTCTAATCTATTTCCTATGGCACAACTACTGCACTGAAAAGCTTTATAGTGAATGAAACAATCCTCTTGCAGAAAATGAACAGTATTCCAAACAGGACTTATAAGATTATTTTTTTTAATTGGCTGAACTGTCCTTAAGAAAAGGTGACTAATCAGACATTTAATCATTCTAAGTTGAATCAGATAGGAAATGCAAACAGTGCATCCCTCAGGGCATCACACACAGTAACTGTGGCAACTGCCAAGCTGAGTGTGTCAGAACTAAGTTTTCCTGGATTTCTCTTTTGTTTGAGAAGGAAACAAAACCAGTTTTTCTCCTCTGGAAATCAGTTTCATCATCTATGAGACTTTATTCTTCTTCTGAATATGAAACTGTGCCCCAGAGAACAAAGCTTTGCTCCTTCAGAACTTTAGGCTAAAAGTTAATTATTTCAAACACAAGAAAGTAATGTTCTTTCCTTGACCACAAAAGATTTTCTAAGTTAACAGAACACTGTAAAATACTGCAAATTATTCTCACCTATTTTCTTATTTCGCTCTTCCCCACGACTGTGTGCAATGATTGGAGAATATATGAAGGGGCTTTTGGTTGACACATTCTGACCAAGCAAACTTTTCATTTTGTGAGGTCGGAGACTGGTTGGGAGGTTCAAGAGCTTCACAGATCTGTTGAGTAAAAATAATCTTGCATTACTTAAGTTATTCTATTTGATAATAGATAGGTGTGTTAAAAATGAACTGATAAATACAGCCTGAGATTAAAACTCCTGAAATGGAAAACATGGAGTAAACACCTACAACACAAAAGAAAGTAATTAAAATTCCTGAAATGGAAAACATGAAGTAAACACCTACAACACAAAAGAAAGTAACAGCAATCCAAGGAAACCACAAATGGTTTGAGAAAGCTCACAGAAAACAAACATCAAAGGAAAAACATCTTCTGCAGAAACCAACAAAACCAAAACTAGACAGATCAGTGATTTGAAGTCCACTCCAGTCCAAGTGTAAACTGAACAACAGATACAACTCCAGTGTAGAAAGCAGCCAAATATTTACCTGAAACCCAAACTAGAAGCCAGACCAAGTTCATTGTGCGACATAATAAAAATAAAGAACTTCTCCAAGGTGAATCAAAACTGATTTTCAAACACTGAAAACACAGAGTTGCTGCTGGAAGGAAGGAAGTGTCCCAGAAATTTGAGTGGGTTTGTTGAACAACCAGAAAGCAATTACAATAGACAGAAAACAAATGATGTGTTAGACTACATCCTTGTTAGACCCAATTCCCTACAATACCATGCAGGGAAATCATTGCTCTTCCAATGCTGATGGGAAATTAAAGATTAAGTATTGGGCAGAAGAGCAAGCAATAAACTGGTAGTTACTCAGTCAAACAAACAGCATTATAAAAGTCACTTGGTTACTTCGGGTCAGGAACTTAGCACAATAAAGAACAGACACACCAATATCACACTAACAGAAGTACATACACACAACAATAATGTGCTCAGTTCTCGGCCCCTCAGGTCAGGAGGATATTGAGGTGCTGGAGCAGGTGCAGAGAAGAGCAACGAGGCTGGTGAAGGGACTGGAGCACAAGTGCCATGAGG